CTGAGACCTGCCGCGGGCCCCAGAAAAATCCACCTTTCCCCATGGCTCAGTCCTGCTACTGGTGTGACCCAAGGCTTGGAGCCGAGGGCCTGAGGCTCGGAGCCCTCCATGATGCTCCCATTTTCTTCCCCACAGGTAGGTGAGAGCCCCGAGGGTCTGAGCAAGGCAGCATGGCAAGTAAGTATTTCCCAGCGGGGGCCTTGAGGGCCAGGGCGGGGGAGCAAGTGAGGTTTCCCCCCCCCACACACACTTCTTCCTCCAGGAGGGGTGGAGAGGTCTCCTGCCGGGGGGGTGAGAAAGGGCTGCCGGGCTCCTCCTGTCTGTGGGGCCGTGGGCGACAGAGGTGGGGCCGTGTCCTGGCCCCTTCTGGGAGCGGAGGCCCAATGCCCGGCTTTGTCTGCTGCACATCTCTTTGCCGCGTGTTGCCGGGCGGCAGACTCGGAGCCCGTGGGCCAGAAGAGCAGTTGGGCCAATTGCCAGTCCCTTCTGCAGGCACCCCTGGCCAGCAAGGTGTTTTCAGTCGTCCACGTCTGGTTCAGACTGGCCCCGAGCCGGGGTAGGCTCAGCTCGCTGGCCTGATAACCCCACTCCCTTCCCACAGCCTGCTGGTCCCTGCCGCTCGGCTTTCCACGCTGCGCGGCGCCCTTCCCTGTGCTGCTCCTTTGCGCACGGTGTTCGCAACAGTCGGCTGCCTCCGCAACAGGTCGACTTAGTTGCCAGCAGGCTCCGAGGAGGGTTCCCTGGGAGCATGGTAGGGGCAGACGGGAGAGTACTGGCACTGCTGGCCAGCTGGGGCGGGGAGGTGACCCTGCAGCCGGTGTGCAGATGAACCGCCAAGCGGCCAGCTCTGCTGCGACCGGATCCCAGGCCCGGTGCTTCAGCGGGTTAAAGCTGGGTCCACGCCCCGCATCTGATCTCGAAAGAGCCACGCTGAATCCTCCTGCTGGGTCTGGTGTGCAGCCCGCCGGGCTGCTGGACGGCACGGCGGCTGCGGGCTTGGAGGGGAGCCCTGCCTCTGAAGCCAGGTTGGGAGAGCCCAGGGATCGGCTTGGTGAGTGACGGGATCCGGAGCCGAGAGTGGAGGCAGCGGTCGAGCTGAGCCGGCTGGAGGAGCCGGGAGACGAGGGCTGCTCCGTGCCAGGTAGGCAGTGCTTTGCTGTGTGTATGGTGCCAGCGGGAGGCGGAAGGGCCCACCTCTCTCACGCCCCTGCCATCCCCTCTTCCCTGCCCAGCATGTCTGTGTCTGCGTCAGCCGCTGCGCCCTGGCAGGGTGGCTGTGCCCAGCAGCTGCTGAGCAGGGCTGTGTGCCTGGACTCGGAGCTGGAGAAGCAAGCGGGGGGGATGAAATAACACAAACCGCAGCTTAAGTCTGCAAATAAGACTTTGGTTGCAGGAAGCTCTGGGCTGCTGTGGGTCTGGCATGTCATGACCATGAGGGTAAGCAAGCAGCCTGGTTAACTATGTCCATTACCTAACCAGGTAACAGGCAGCCAATAGAAATGGAGGTAGGAATTTCAAACTGGGACAAAGGAGTTTTTCGGTTTTTCCCTCCTCTGTCCCTGGGCAGTTTCTCCTCAGCTTCCCTTATCGATGCTCTCGTTTGTTTTTTTTCATTCTAGAAGCCAGTACAGCATGGCAGATGTCCCAGAGCGGGGAATGGGGCAGGTGGCCGGGTTGCAGAGTGGCTGGCGATCCTGAGGTCCAGGAGAAGGAGGGAACAGCCTTGTCCCTTCAGGAAACGCCGAGGGAGTCTCAAAGGAGCTGGGGAGGAGGAAGCGAGGGGCGCTCTTGAAAGAAAGGCTGGGCCGAAGCAGGAGGGGGAGGCGCTGGGGCCAGGCTATTTCCAGAACGAGAGGCGGTGACTTGAGCATAGACCACTGCGCTGGGAAACATCCACCCAGCGCACGAAGGCCCAAGAGCCGATGACTGTCAAGGCCGAGCCAGCAACCGGTCCCTGCGTCCTGCTCAGTACGAGCCTGCTCAGCTGGCCAGTGCTCCTCTCGGGACTGCTCCCTCAGCCATGGCCCGGGAAGCTCCTTCGCAAAGCGTGAAGAACTAGGAGAGCCGGGGCCCTTGATGACCCTGTCAAATGGTCTCTCCGTTGCCCCTGCTTTTGTATGTCTGTTGCTCTGCTCTAGCACGGCAGCTGCAGAATAAAGTGGGTTCTGGAGAAAAGTTCGTGTGACTCACATCCTTCAGACCGGCCTTCATTATCCGTGCCAGGAGCAGGAGTACCAGCCTCAGAGCGGGCTGCTAAGAAGCAGGGCAGAAGCCCCTAGCTGCCTGTGATTCTGTACTTAGGTTTCACCAACCAGTTATTAAGAGTAAACTCGTTAGGCTGGGGTGGTTAATAAGTGGCCCGTGGGCCGGATGCACTTTGCCAAGGGTGGCTGCCGATGCTTTATTTTCCTGCACGTTTGCAGGTACGGTCATTCGCAGCTCCCATTGGCCGCAGATCGCCATTCCCAGCCAATGGGAGCTGCAGGCAGCAGCGTCCCGGACTGTGTTGCTTCTCACAACTCCCATTGGCCGGGACCAGCGATCCACAGCCAATAGGAGCCGCAAGCTACTGAACCTGCGAACGTGCAGGTAAATAAAGCGCTAGTGGTCCACCAGGGACTAACTCTAGCGAAACGCAGACCACGTACAGCCCACCCCTGCCTTAGGCGCCGTCACAGGCAGCGCCCTGGGTGCTCTCATCTTGCCACCCAGGTGAGTGTACCTTTGTGATGGTCCTGGACAACAATCACAGCAGCATTCAGGTTACTCCCAGTTCCAAAGGACCAGTCATTTACCGCACATCAGTGGCACCTTAGGTTTCACACTGACGACAACACTTGTAACGAATCTTCCGAGAAACTATTTAAAGATTCCTTAAATAAAAAAGGAAAGGAGCTATTTACAAGATTAAAGCAGACTGCAGAAATAGATACACAGACGAATTGCAAAATGTTAAGTTTCAAGAGGTAATACACAGCTTGCTTTTTATAGAAGCTTCTATGTCCTTTATGGCTAACCCGGGCCAAGCTCTACGGATCTTTTGCTTATGCCTGGAACATCTTGGCTACGTCTAGACTGGCATGATTTTGCGGAAATGCTTTTAACGGAAAAGTTTTTCTGTTAAAAGTATTTCCGCAAAAGAGTATCTAGATTTGCAAGGATGCTTTTGCGCAAAAGCATCCGTGGCCAGTCTAGACGAGATTTTTGTGCAAGAAAGCCCCGATTGCCATTTTAGCCATCGGGGCTTTTTTGCGCAAAACAGTTCTTCCCTGTCTACACTGGCCCTCTTGAGCAAGTATTCTTGCACAAGAGGGCTTTTTCCTGAGCGGCAGCATGAAAGTATTTGCACAAGAAGTACTGATTTTGTACATTACAAAGTCAGTGTTCTTGTGCAAATTCAAGCGGCCAGTGTAGACAGCTGGCAAGTTTTTGGGCAAAAGTGCCTGCTTTTGTGCAAAATCTTGCCACTCTAGATGCACCCCTTGAGTCCAGACTCCAAGCAGCATAAAGATCCAGTACTTCTGTGTTAGGTGTGTTTATTCCTATTGCCCCATGTGTTCTGAGTTGTGAACTCAGCTGACGGGAGGAATCCACTTTTGGGACTCATCTTCATGTGCAGGGGCGGGGAGGAGAACAAAGCAACAAATATCTTTTGTTCTCTTTAATGGCCCACAGTAGACCATCAGGAGTTGATGGGCCTTCCTCTTGGCCAGGACGTAACCCCTCTGTTGGTGATCTGTGCCTGAGATTAATGTCTCTCCTGTCTGGTGATTTACGGTGTCAGAGAATCTTCCCACGCAAATGATTCCGCATTACTCCTAGCCTTTGCCCCCTAGCTTGTAAAGTGAGATCAATGCATGCAGCAACTCACAAGCATTCAGTGAAGTCTAAACAGGCTGTTAAATTCTAACACCTATTTTAACAGCGCTCATGCACAGGTCAGCCCGACTGTTTCCAGCTGTGTATTTATCAGTGCTCAGCTGAGACATGGGGACCTTTCCATGAGCTGCCAACATTACACTCCCTCTGTCAGCAGTTCCTCCTCCATCAATTCTCTCCCTAGAGCAAAGATGAATAAATGGGGGGAGGAGGAGAAAGTATCTACAGTAACCCATCAGGCGTGTCCTGTCCTGACCAAAAGCGCGTGGCACGGCATGGCTGTAATTCCTAATACATCTCACTGCCTCCGGAGTTGGATAATCCGTAACACCACTTGCCCGGTTAGTTGAAAGTAGGAACATGAAGGTCACATGATGACATAAGGAGAAATGTGCCACCAGGTTGGCCACAGATTATTCCCGGGGGTGGCTCAGTGGTGTGAGCACTGGCCTGCTAAGCCCAGGGTTGTGAGCTCAATCCTTGAGAGGCCTGTAGGGGTCTGAGGTGAATCTGTGAGGGATGGTACTTGGGCCTGCTGTGAGGGCAGGGGACTGGACTTCCTGACCCCTTAAGGTCCTGTCCAGCTCTGTGAGATGGGTATATCTCCATTTGCTTGGGTAAAGACAAGGAACATTTGTGATTAGCAGAGAGCATGGGCCTTCCTCTGAGGCCAAGCTGCCTGCTGGTCTGATGAGCAACTTGCTTGGTGTGTAGCAGGCTGGCTCTGTGCAAGTTGCTTCGCATCCTGTGTCTGTGTCATGAACTTGCAGATGTGGTTGTTACAGTGGTCAGTCAAGTGTCCTGTCTGTCCCTGCCCTGGTATCGGGTCCCCAGGTTTGTGCCACCGGGGAGTGGTTCCATGAACTGGTTCCATGAACTGAGGTTGGCCTGTGGGGTGACCCCTGCGGGGAGGGAGACATCACGGCCTGTGCTGGTCAGTAGGGTTGCTTGGAAGAGTCCAGGTGTTTCTGAGCACTTGGGGGCGGGGGGGGGAGGAAGGGTGTTTGCATTTGCATGATCTTCCTGTGGCCTCCTTTTCCTCTCCCAGTAAAGGGGACCCCTTGCTTTGGCACATGTAGGTTCCACTGATTGGAGCCAGCCATCTGGGTTATCCATGAATTTGCTCTCCTGCTCTCCTGCCTTGGCTGGTGGTTGGTGCCCACAGCATGGAAGGCCGTGCCATTGTGAGAGTCCCACCTGGAACCCCAGGGACAACCAGCTGTCCTGGCTAGATAGTGCCCACTGGGAACAGCCCCTTGTCTGCAAGGGTGACCAGCATGTGCCTCCTCGGGGGCTGGTGCTTCCGCATTCAGGCTTGTCTTGCCCTTGCGGCACTGAAAAGCGTCTGTTCTTTGTATGGAGTTCTGCTGCTCCTCCCAGGGCCCGCCCGCACCACATGCAGTTCAGGGGGGACATAGACTGTCCTGGCTAGATAGTGCCCACTGGGAACAGCCCCTTGTCTGCAAGGGTGACCAGCATGTGCCTCCTCGGGGGCTGGTGCTTCCGCATTCAGGCTTGTCTTGCCCTTGCGGCACTGAAAAGCGTCTGTTCTTTGTATGGAGTTCTGCTGCTCCTCCCAGGGCCCGCCCGCACCACATGCAGTTCAGGGGGGACATAGATCCAGCCAGAGGCACAGCCGGGGAGTGGGAGGGGCTGGCTTTGGCCTGGGGCGCTCCACAGGTGTGGTTGGGGCGCTCCTGCGCTTCATAGCTGCTGGGGAGACCTTCCCTGATCTCAGCGTGCCCTGGGCCGGTTCGAGAAAGGGAGGGGGAAATAATGTCAGCTTCTGGGGACGGTGGGTGTGTGTCCTTCCCTCCCCTCCCCTCCCTCTGGGCTCACAGAGAGCCTCTTGGCCCTTCCCATGAGGCACTGTGGCTGGGCAGTGTGCTGAGAAGGCGGGACGGGTAATGCAGCCAAGGGGGTTCCTGTTCCTCATCCCTGTGCCTAAGACTGTCTCCTGTGATGGGTGCGGGGGGGAGGGGAACCTGGTGTGAGCCAGGCCAGGTCCCCCCCGCAGTGCACCAGCCTTAAATGCCAAAGGCTGTGGATTGTGGGGGGGCTGGGTGTGCGGGGCTCCTCAGCGCCTCTCTGCCTTGTGTGTTTCAGTGTTCCTGGGGGCCACGCACGCCCACTCGGTCCTCAGACGCTTCCCCCGCGCCAACGGCTTCCTGGAGGAGTTCCGCCAGGGCACCATCGAGCGGGAGTGCATAGAGGAGATCTGCAGCTACGAGGAGGTCAAGGAGGTGTTTGAGAACAAGGAGAAAACAGGAAGTGAGGG